CCCATTACAAATACTGAGACCTTTAAGAGGCAATTGGGCATGAGGACCCTGCCCTCAAGAATGGATAAACATCATTATCAGAGGAGTAGGTCCCTGATTAAAAAGACCAAGTTACATCCCATTCTTACCTTCCTTCCTTAACACCCCAAAACTCACAAATTCTCAGTCTCCTGTCACAGGATGATGGAAGAAGCCCTTTGCCAGGTGTGGGTCTCTTCAACAGTGATTCCCAGTTTCCAGAATTTTAATAAATTTCTTTAGAAATCACCCAGTCTGTGGTATTATAATAGCAAAAAGAACCAGAACATCAGCAAACATGGAGTTCTACAATTGTCTGTGTATTTTATTCCCCAAGTAGCCTTCCTAGACAATTTCTTTCTCACTTCCTGTACCTGGTAAGACATGGCACACATCAGCTCATGCACTTAAAGAGTCGGAAAGGGTTGTTTTTAAGCAAGATCTCTCAAAGTACCTAAGCCTCAGGAGCAATGGCATACATTCAAAGCTGGAAGCAGATGACCTTATTTTCTCTGCAATTCTGTACCAGTCTCAGAGGGAAAAAATGCTGCTTGTCTCAGCATGTCCACCAGGCCTGTTCAAGTGCTCTGCTGAGACCTGTCATGCCAGTGGCTGAGCTGATAAGGCCACTCCAGGCCCAAGACTTGTGTTTTGGTTCCTGCAAATTTGGAAGGAGTCTGCAGAGCACTTCCAGTAGATCACTCTGCTGCAGTTGCCCTTTGACAGCATGATTTGAAAACTGAGGCTACAAAACTTATCTATCTCGGTTGAAAGTGTCCATCTGTCTTTTTTTTTTTTTTTCACTTGTTACTAAGACTACTGAGTACTAAAAATCAAAAGGCAATTCATAAGAACCTGAGCACTTATGTTCCTGGTAAAATTAAAGCAATATGTTGGTTTTCCCTAAAAACACCAGAATGAGTATTCAGATTTTAAAACCATTTATTTACTCCTCTGTTTTATAAAGAAAGTTACTGACACAATGGTTGAGTCTAAGTTTTACCCTTGTGAGCAAACTTGTGCACACGCATGCACAAACAAACACCAAGCTACAAAGTAAACAGGCTAGAGACTGGGAAAGTTACAGAAATCTGTGCTGAAAACAGACAAAATGCTTCTCCACCTCACCAATGACATCTTGGGCTAAATCATGGGGGGGCGGGGGGAGTTCACACTGCAGTATACAGAATTCCTGAAATCTACCCCCTAGATGCCAACAGCACCCTCGCCCCATGTGGTATAACAACCAAGTATGTCTCCAAACACAGACAAATGTCCCAGGGGACTAGAGGCATGTGGCACAGAAAAAGTAACAATGTTCTGACTACAAACCAACATTCTAAGAGCATGAAAAGATATGTGTACCAAAAAAATATATATATATATATATGCAGGCTGAACCTAGAGAAATTTCTTGAAGTATATCAAAGTTGGGCCAGTCAATTTGTCATTCTAGCAAATGAAAACACAACTTTCACAACCATAGTCCAAACCAGAAGCAAAGCAAAACAAACAAACACATTTGACTGGCAAGTGCCTTAAGCACAAATCAATGTGGTTAGAAGGAGGTAGAAGGAGGAACTCTAACTGAAAACTTACAGAGAAAATGATAAACCTGGAAGGTTTAACATGATAAAAAAAAATCACAATAACTCCACAGTGAATGCTTGCTCTTCTAGGCCTTAAGGCAAAATCAAGAAGGCCAACTGATTCTAACCACTGCTGGCTCCAGTCAAGTGGTGGCTGCCTGGAGCCAAGAACTGAGCAGGACTCTGGAGATTCAGTGAGCTACTTGAATACGAAAAATACACAAATAATCGATGCTGGCCAAACTTCAACTTTCCTTATACTCAAAATAATATTCAGTAAAAAAAAGGAAAGGGGAAACCAATCCTCCACAGAGAGCAACAGACAAAAAGAGGAGGAAAGAGGGAAGAGGCAAAAGGAAGGAATGAGTAAAGAGACAGGGAAGGAGACAGAAATCCTATCACTCTCCTACTGTATCAGCTCTGGTTCCCAATGTTCAGACGCTAAAGTTCAAATCAGCCCACAAAGCCCTTCATGATTTCTTTAAACATGATTCTCCAAGGTGGTCTGTACCACTACAGCTAGCCATGCTGCAACCAACTACTAATGTCTCACTATTTTCTCAAAGTATTTGCAATTTCACACTAGCCCTTATCACTTCCTGGCCCAGGAAAGTGTGCCTCCTTTTCTGTGATGTCCTCTCATCTGCTCCTTGGAACCCACTTCAAAAAACAGCCTTTAGATAGGCGGCAGCCCCAGCACTGGGAAGCTTGACAGAAAAGCAGACTGTGAGGCCCCACTTCAACAAATTGGAATTGGCTTTATTACAAGACCTCAAGTGAGCTATAAATGTGAGTCGAGTCGAGTACAAGTTCTAGTACAATATGAGCTCTCAGTGAACCTAAATCCCACTGGATTCAACCCCCCATTGCAAGTTTCTGACCCATGGTCAAAGAGACTCATCTTCTGTATTAAAGCAGGAAACCCAAACACCTGCTTCTAGCATTTGCGGCAGCAGATGAAATACACAGGTAGTCAGTGACATGTCAGCAGAAGCCTGATGGGGGCCCCTAAGAGAACAGTTATTTCTCTCATAACTTCCTGTCTTCTTTCTAGAGCACAAGGTGCAGCAGGTGTCGCTGTCAGGCAACCATGAGGTGACAAACACGAGACTAGAATCCCAGCAACACTAAGAACAACAGAGTGGAAACAGGATGGCCAGGGTTAGCACTGGGTTAGCAATACAAATACAGTGAAGCCTCTGGAACACCACAGAACCATCAGATTACTGTGTCGGCCTGTTCAACATGTCTACTTCCCGGCACTCTCATTAGAGAATGCACCTTCTGAAATTGAATGCATTCCCATCTGAGTAAACTCTTAGTAAACGGGAGGTGAATTAATGGATACACAGCAAACTCTACTGAAGGTTCAGAAGTCTACAGTGTTTCAAAAACAAGGACTCCAAGAATGTGTTCAACTTTGCCAAATAAGCCTCTAAAGTCTCTATTCTTCTAGAAGTATTGACCCATTTCTGTTGGTAGCTTAATGGATGTAAAAGTGAGCACAACCTCATAAAAAGCAATGGGAACAACCTCGAAGAATATGCTCAACTTTGCCAAAGTATGCCTATCAATCAGTCCAGCACATCTAGAATTACTAACCCATTTCTGCTCACTCACAGCTTAATGGAAAAGCAACTGCAATGCTTACATGCTAAGAGACTGATGTACCAAAAAACTGCAAACTTCACACTAGGATCCCGCCTTGAAAACTCCCCACTGTTGTGGTTGCTCACGGGTAACTCTAAGCAAAAGAGTCCTATAAAAATAGCATTCTCCTAGTTTCTTACTTTGAGACCCCTAACATGAATCTTTGTTTTTCCAGTCCTTATTTCAGACTAATATTTCCATTCAAAATTTCAAGATCAAACAGCAAAACACTTTTTCTTTTGAAGCAATATAAGCAAAAATGGTTAAAAGGAGCGGCATACAACAGCAGTGTTGCTCCTCAGCAAAAAGGCAGGGTCTACCCAAAGCAGTCCTCAGCTACATCATTAGGTCCTGCAATCCAATCAGTACTTAGAGAAATGTATTTTAGAGAGAAACTTGATAGCACCAACAGAAAACCAGTACCACTTGCCATAAATAGAAAACAAATAAAAAAATCCAATAAAAGCGTAACCTTATTAAATTTAGCTCCTGTTGGGCTGACAAGATGGCTGGGCCTGGAAACATGACAACCTGAGTTCAAGCCCCAGAGCCCACACCTAGGTGGGAAAACTGGCTCCACAAACTGTCCTCTGACCTCTACATAAATGTCACACAGACACACAAAGTTCTTTTTGTTTTTTTGGGGTTTTTTTTTGGTTGTTTTTTTTTTTTTGAGTAAACAATGCTGCTCACCAAAGTTTTTCAACTTGAAACTTGTTTTCTTACTTAAAAAGGGGGGATGGGGAGGTTGATCACAGCACACAGGAGGCTGTCGGGAAGAGCTGAAAGTCAGCCTTGGGCTATGTAGTAGGCCCCTGTCTCAAAGAATAAGGAAGGCTGGTAGAGCATGAGGATGCCGGACATAGGAAAAAAAAAAACAAAACAAGGCTAAATAGCAAACTGAAGTGTTCTCCCAAGCACAAGAGATGAGAAAAGGAATGAAAAGAAACTGATTTTTTTTTCATTGTTCGACTCTAGCAACTCTTATACCCATGGCCCACCTCGAAGTATCCTCTCTACAGTCTCCAGTCATCTCCTTGCTCAACGTGCAGTAAGCCCCAACTCCGCAGGACCGCCCAAATGACCCCCACCATCTGGACCTTACAACAGCTCTCCAAGCCTATCCTCTCTCCACGCGGACAGCTCCACCAGCAGCTGCAAACCAGGGCCAGGACCACCTCCCCCATCCGTTACGTCACCAGGTTCTGCCTCCTTCAAAGTACTAGCTGGCTAACACCTGATTGACTTTACTTAAGAATAAAAAGAAATTGGGCACTGTGTGCGTAGGGTCCCTAGACACAGCTGCAGCACTTTACGTATCAGGTTGAACCCCCCTAAAAGTGCCCCAACTGGGTAATTTCATAGTGTCCAATGGAGCCTGTCAACTTGCGGGGAATAGGTACCAGGAAAACGGGGAGCACAAACTGGTTCGGTTTGCTAGGAGAGAAGCAGCCGGATTCGAACCCTGCTGGATGCTCTCCCACCAACACCCGCTCCAAAAACTGCAGTTTCCAAGATGCAGGGTCTTGCTCCTGGCAACATCCATCCCCAAGGCGGATGACGGGAGCTGGCGCCTGTGTTCTGGGGCGCTGGAAGAAGGCAAGCTGAATGGTGGGAGGAACGCGTTCCTTTGTCAGCTGGGTTATCTTCCAGAACTCTCTGAGCATCCAGCGCAGAAATCCTCCCGGCCCCGAAGAGGAGGAGCCCGAGAAGCGCCCGAGCTCCAGGGCCCCCGGGGCTCACCTTGAAGTCTCGGCTGTGCTGCGGGGTGTACTCCAGCGTCCAGAGCGCCCGCACCAGGTGCGCCAGCTGCTCGGTGACCTCGCCCTGACCGTGCGGGCCGCGACCCGCCGGCTGCTCCGGTTCAGGCGACGGCTCCGGGCGGCCCAGCCGGTACTGGCCCAGGGCCAGGTACTCGGCGAAGAGCTCGGTGTTGCTGAGGCACTGCAGCGTGGCGTTCATGAAGCACGTGTTGCCGTGGTTGCGGAGCCCCGCCACGCCGGGCACCGGCTCGGA